TCACCTCCTGAGTTGATATAGCCATGTCCGTCTGTCCGTCTGTCCGTCTGTCCGTCTGTCCGTCTGTCCGTCTGTCCGTCTGTCCGTCTGTCCGTCTGTCTGTCCGTCTGTCTGTTTCTACGCGAACTAGTCTCTCAGTTTTAAAGATATCGAATTGAAACTTTGCACACACCCTTCTTTCCTTTGCACGCAGTATATAAGTCGGAACGGCCGGGATCGGCCGACTATATCCTATAGCTGCCATATAACTGATTGATCGGAAATGCCATAACTCTGCTGTTTGTTAAGTTAGGAAGTTGGGACTCTATATGGGTATTATATTTGGCCAATCAATCCGACGTACCAAATTTCATAAGGATCGGCCGACTATATCCTATAGCTGCTATATAACTGATTGATCGGAAATGCCATAACTTTGGTGTTTGTTAAGTTAGGAAGTTGGGATTTTCTATGGGTTATATATTTGACCAATTAATCCGACCTACCAAATTTCATAAGGATCGGACGACTATATCCTATAGCTGCCATATAACTGATTGATCGGAAATGCCATAACTTTGGTGTTTGTAGAGTTAGGAAGCTGGGATTTTCTATGGGTTTTATATTTGGCCAATCAATCCGACCTACCAAATGTCATAAGGATCGGCCGACTATATCCTATAGCCGCCATATAACTGATTGATCGAAAATGCCATAACTTTGGTGTTTGTAAAGTTAGGAAGTTGGGATTTTTTATGAGTATTAAGAATGCATCATATGAATAATTTTGGAGAATATAATGTACATAATATTCTGCAAGGGTACATCAACTTCGGCTCCGCCCGAAGTTAGCCTTCCTTTCTTGTTTTTTATTTATTAGCATCGCAAATAACAGTTAATTGTTTTTCGAATTAATTTCGAATGAAAATTGTGCATAAATGATATAAATAGCATTAAGTCATAGTAAAACTTTAAAATACAATTTCAAAATACAACTTATGCACTCGTTCTTATGAATTTGTCCATACTGTCATTCCTAATTTAATTTTAGTAACCCATTATTTGTATGGTAACTCCCTATTTTGCAAGGGATACTTTTGGAGGTACCTGGCAGTCTAGACTCAACCACCCTTCCGCCCTTTCACCTCTTCAACCCCATCCCACAAAGTCGTGCTCGCTCTCTCTCTCTTTCCCCCTCCGCTCCCTTTTCCCTTTCTCCCCGCGCTTTGCATGTTTCGCGGCTTTCTACTTTTATTATTTTTTTTTGGCAATGCCAATCCGCAAAAATGTATTTGGGTCAAATATAAAAATTAAACGCAATTAGCAATGAAATTTTCAATTTCATTATCACCGACGGTGGCGTCGCTGCCGACGTTGGCGCGAAAGCAAAAAATACAACAACATTAAATCGTCGAGTGATAAGACGAGTAAACTATAGCATAGTATTTTTTGGGAGGGGGTAGTGGGCTTGGGTTTCTTTCGACCCGGTGTCTTCGCCTTCTGAGCGCTGGTTCCGCAATGTCAAGACTGTGGTGACCTTATTTTTGACAGATATGTATGTACATATGTATGTTACGTATGTACACAGTTGTGGGTCTGCACCCGAACTTGACGAATTTCGGCCAATTAATAGTGCTATTTTTCAGCAGCAACATATAATATTTTATTAAGAGAAATTTTATTCAATGAAGCTGGTATCATCAGTATCATCAAAAATCATTATAAATTTCAGTGAAGTGCAGAAATGAGAGAAATGCGCTTTGAGGAAGTTGATCATATTTATTTAGTGAGACCAAATAAAAGGCAAGACCGCAACGGAAATTTTCATTTCCCGAGTAAATAGGAGAAATGAAAGACCATCTCTCAGTTTGCTTATTTGATTCGGTGCAAATGCAATTGTGTTATTTGAAAAGTCCTTGACAAATGCCAAGTGATGACCAGGGATTGCCAGCACTCACACACACTCGCGAAAACCCCATAAGCCCCATGAACCCACGAAACACCCGCAACAGCCCCAATAACAAACTGCAATGAACCCCAACCCCTCCCACACCTTCTCTCTCTCTCTCTCTCTCTTTCTCTCTCGCTGTCTCTCTTTCTCTCTCTTTCAGCACGTTCTTTGACTCGAAATGACCTTAAACTGGGTTAAAGCTCGCCAAAGTTACCCCAAAAGGGGGCGGCAGGGGGGCCTGCTGCAAATTGAACTTTCTGTGCAACAGAGCATAGCTAGCGGTGAAGAGAGAGGGCGCTATGCTCACAGAAAGAGAGCGGAAGAGAAGCGGTTTGTTTGCCTAAATGCAACTCATGAATCATTCACACGCAACTATGAATATGCAAAAGTGAACCGCTTTGAATGCACAATGAATATGCGCACACATGTACCCACTAAAAACAACTACACTTGAACAGAAGTGCAGTCACAAATTTGCTTATGAAAACATAAAAGACCGACACCTGAAGACATGATTTGCAATGAAATTTTTAGCCCAAAAATGCCTTAGTTATTTTACACCGCAATAGCTAATCATTTTTAAAATTATGTTATCACTTTAGTTTGGTAATGAAGTGTTGAATATCTGCAAAGGCAACACTGCGTATTAGTGATAAACTTGGAATGCATGTGAATATCTGAAAAGGCAACACTGCGTATTAGTGATAAACTTGGAATGCATCTTAAACCATTTGAAATCCCATTTTCAGACCACTAAAAGCAATATAAGAAAAAAGATCAACGTATTTTAACTTGTTTAATATTTTTTTGGGAATCTTAGTAACTAAAGATATAAATTAGAGTGTTTACCTATTATAACTTAAAAAATCGTTGGAAAACCCCTAAAAACATGAAACCCCATAAGGAGACTTACTATAATTTATCTTTTGAAACTAACTAAAACCTTTACTTAAAGAAAACTTTTTAAAAATGTTGAAAATCCCAAAAGACATCCATTTAAATGTTAGTTTTAAGCAAAACATTAACCAATAGTTGTTATTTATTTACATTCGCACATAAATACAGTTACCAGCTGGCAGCTCTTCTAATTGCCTTGCATGTAATTCATTTTCTATTTGCCAAGAGAAAGTAAAAACAAAAAAAGCACAGACACTCAGTCACAAAAACACACGCACACCCGTGCATCAATACATTTTATTGCTCATCAAAAAAATCAAAAAAAGTTTGACGCTTCGTTTTCTATTGTTGTTTTTCTCCAACCCCCTCCCCATCTTTCTCTTTTTTATATTTTTTTTGGTGTAGGCGTTAAGCTGGCGGCGCAGTCGAAAAGAGAGAGAGATGACTTTTAAGCTTAGCTTGACTGGTAACAAATAAAACAAAAATATAAAAAGAGGCATGGAGCAGAACATTTGAGAGAGCGAACGAAAGGTGAATGACTTTAGGTGAAAAAGTTGCGCAGTCAGCTCATTTTCTATTTCTTTTTATCCCCCTGTAGCGCCCCCCTAGTTCATTTGGTTTATTATCTCTCTCTCTCTCTCTCGCTCTGACTATTTCGATATCGAAAATGCAGGGCATTAGTTATGCTTTTAAAGTGTTTTTTTTTATGCTTTTCATCTGCAGTAGACACTCGCTAGTATGAACTCCAATAATGCTTTCTATATAATAGTTAATAGTAATTAAACAGAGGAAAACTTCCAAAAGCTAAACTGTCAGCTTAGCTAAACATTTTTAAACGAATTTTTGCTCATATATTATTTTATACTCATGTATTTTAAGATTATGTTTCAAACTTCAATATCTATCGACACACCAAAAAGTTTCCGAATCGCACTCTTATTTTAAAAGCCGTTTTAAGAGTTCCCTTCCTCAAAGAGACCACTGTATTTTGGCTGCCCGAAAACGAAACTTTCAGCATACAGAACCAGGAGAGTGAGCTTTTCAACGACTTCGGCAAACGGCAATGACAGTGTAGCCGTGCCTCGTACTTTACATTCTGCCGCTGCCTTAGTAGGTCAACAAAATTCCGGACAATGGCCTTTCGCTTTCGTCGGCGGGCGTCGCACTATGGAGCAAACGACCACTTTTTGTGGCAAAAAATAGTTAACAGCCAAGAAACGGGGATTCATTTAATGGTTTTGTTGCCTGAATTGCGATCATTCCGTACAACTTCACTAACTTGTAAAGTGTAAGTACTTGAATCAAATAATATAAGAATTTTCATTTCCATTTTATAATTTCAAAGTTGGCAGATATATTTATCCGTAAAACATTTTAAATATTTTTTTAAAAATTTATTTTGGCCAGAATATGGTTTGTTTTTTCCATAGTGCGTTGACGTTGACGTCGGCAGCGACAGCGCTGCAGCTAGCAGTGCTTCGAAATGTAAATAGAATCTAAGGCAAACGCAAGCCGCTGGCGCCCACCGCCCAACACCCCCCTTCTTCCCACTCCCCACTTCACCACCCCTCCACCCATCGTTCAATATGGCGACGGCGACGCGACGATGAACATGAAGATATTTCAGTCGCCGCCGTCGCTGCAGTTGTTATTGTTGCTGTTGTTGTTGTTGATGTCTTTGTTTTTGATGTTGTTGCCTTCGATGGCGTAATAGGCACATGCAGATGCCCGCAGTTGTATGACTGTGTATTAATGGGCATATAGTCAAAATTCCCCAACTGGAACTTCCCCAAGTCCAAGTAACTTGAGACACAAAATACAATAAATCATTTTGTTTTATGGGAGTATCTAGATTGTTCCAAATATATTATGATCATAATACAATGATTCTCTATAAGTTGAATAGCTTTTCTTCCAAGTTTAACTAACTTGAGACAAAATCAAATGATATTCATTGATTATATTAGAAAATACAAATTCTATATAGTATTACAGTATAAAATTTTTATATAAGAACTTTAAATAAATCACCCAATAGGAAAATATACAAATGTTTCTTTGCCAAGAATTAAAGTTGTAATGTAAGATATCTATAAAAATATTTCTTCTTACTCTTATTCTTATTGTTCAACATAAAACAAATTAACAACATTAAAGCCGATTTTTATTACAGATAGTATAAATGATGCCCATAATTCTATAAAAAAAACATATTTTTATGTGACCTTGCTTTAAACTCCGAATGTTACCATATCAATATAGTGCCAAGCCAATTTGAGCAATACTAAATTAAAACAGCTGTCTTCTGCCTTTGGTTTAATACCGAAGACGAATCAATAGAGCCTTGCTTATTGAATTTGGCCACCATCCAATCCATCGAGTTAGCCATGAGTTTGGTTTGGCACGACATCAGTGTCACTGCCCGGAACACACTTCAGTTGGAACCCAACATCCCACATCACCAGACCCCAGATCTCTCCCGAGAACAGAAAAAAGTAGGAAAATACCCAGCCGAAGCGAGAGGCGCAGAGCGGAAACCCCTCAGGTATGTGTGCTATGTAGGTTAAAGGGCAGCGTTCGTTGCACCCGCAGACTGAAGGACAGCAGCCCCTGGTGGGTGGTGCACGGGGTGGTGGGTGGTGCATGTTGTGGTGGGTGTGGGGTGGCCTTACACAAAAGTTCAGTGGAGACGATGGGCAAGGGGATGTCAAATGACGTCGCCACCCAGCGAAGTCACGGACTTTGGAGTGTGCTCGAAGAGGCGGCGACAGGCAGCCCCGCCCACTGGAACACTGCGCCACCCAGCGACCACCCCCTTGGCGTCTCGCCTCCTGGCATTGCATATTTATGAGGCTACACTATAAGAGAAAAGCAAGATAGGAAAGCCAATTCTTAGCTTTCATGCTAGGAAAAATTTAATTACTAATGGTGGCAACACTAAAAGTGACAACACCAAAAGTGGCAACACTAAAAATGAACTTCAAACGTCAAACCAATTCATTATTTTGACTTTACGCAACCCTCTTTTTTGTAGTTCACAATAGTCTTCTATTTTTAATTCACAATAGTCTTCTGTTCTTCTTCCATTGTGTTCATTCATATTTTCAAAACTAATAAGGTATAGATGATAAAAATCAGTTTTCGTGATAAATGTCATATATAAAGTGTGACTTATTAAGAATTTTCTCCTAGCTGCACAAAAAAAAACTCGCACCAAAAGAAGACAACTCCTGGTTTTGTTCCAGTGCACGTTTGCGTTTGCCCCGTGTAACGAAGGTTGTTGGCACAGATTCGCCGACCAGAACTTCCCCTTTTGTCCACCCGTAGAAGAGCAGAGCAGGAAAGATGGCTCAACTGCGTCGCAGCAACAGCGAGCCGGAGATCGGACCCCATCCCGATGAGATTGAGCCAGAGCTGGCCATGATGAACGAGGACGGGGCCGGCGACAGGGCCAACACCGATTGGATGGACCAGCAATCGACGGGCTGGCTGGCCGGACGCTCCAGCTCCACTTCGTCGGCGTACAGGTCGCGCCTTCGCCGCGCTCAACTGGGCTCGAATACCGCCTTCCGGCGCCACTTGCGCCGCTGCCGCCGGGAGAACAACGTGGCGGTGCCCACCATGGGCGACTTCTTCCGCCAGAAGGCAGACATGGACCAGACCACCAGCGCCAGCCTGCGCGTAAAGGTGGCCCTCTTCCTGGCCCTCGTCCTGGTGCCCAGCATCATGGAGATGGAGCCGCGCATCCAGTTCAACGAGCAGTGGCAACAGGATGGCCACTTCAGCTTCCTCAAGCGCCGTCGCCTGGCCTTGACCTTCGCGGGCAACGTGTGCGCGGTCCTGATCCGCTCCTGCATGGCGGCCGCACTGCCCTTTTACTCGATGCTCAGCATGTCGCATCCGAATCGCTTCAATCTCCGGGTGCCACGGGCCGATGGCACCGAATGCGAGGTGCCCGTCAACCTCAACGTCTTCTTCATCGGACTGTTGCCCTATGTGATGCGCCTGCTGGCCGGCTTTCTGCGCTTCGTAAACGACACGTGGGTGGCCTACAACGACCACGTGCTGACCATCGCCGAGTCCTTCAACATTTTGCGCGTGCTCATCCTCCTCATCCACGTGATGCAGCTCATCTACGGCATCGAGCTGATGCTCCTGATGGTCCAGGGAATGTTCGGCTTCCTGCACGCCGTTCGCATCTTCTTGTTGATCGCCGGACGCGACTACGAGCACGCGGAGCAGTTCGAACGGGTGAGTGTCCATATATATTCCTTGATTTTTCAATATGCTTAATTATTTATATTTTAGCGCAAGCCAAACAGCAAGCTCTGGTTTATCCCCACCAGGGCCACGGTGGCCGTTTACTACGCCTTCAAGGAGCGCGTCTGGGACCTTTCGAACTCCCTTCTTCAGTAAACTCAACACTCCAAGCTTAAAAGCAACACTCAGGCTCAAGTTCTGCCAGCCGTACAAATTCAGCGGAAGAATCCATCAACAAACAGGTGAGTTCGGTTAAAATCGAAAGACTTAGGAATCTACAGAGATTCTAACCAAATTTAGTTAGATTTTTAATACATAGTTGATTTTTTTTTAATACATAGTCTAGTTTTTTAATATAATTAACATTTTAAAAAAGTGCCTTAATTCAAGCTCAAGCTTAATTGTTTTAGTGCCAAAGCAAACTTTTTGTTTTGAACTTTCTTTTTGGAAAAAGTATTGAAAGCTTCCAAAAACTCACCGCTCGTTACTCCCGCTTTTTGAATTAATGGTTTTGATGATGCTGCTAGTCTTTAATCGATCTTTAGTTCGAACTTTTGGGGTTGTGGTTTTGTTTATAGTCGATCTGAGCACGGCCAGATTTGATGGTTTAATAAAGTTTATATCAAAGCTGTCAATTTTTGCATTGACACGTTGCCTTTGCATTAGCACAAAATGTTGTTGGCTGTAAAGAAATGGGGAGGAAATAAGTTATTGTAGTTTTTTAAATTTTTTTTAATTCGAAATTAAAAATATTTATAAAATATTTGAAAGTGCTTAAACTTGTGACTCGTTGGTTGTCGTCTTCACTTTGCATTTAGCCAGTGCCCTAACCCGCAGCGCCCTCTATGTGTGATGAACACACTGGAGGTGCCAGCTAAAAATATAGTTTCTGCACTAGATGGCGCATTTGTTTTGAGCGCTCTCTTAAGAAGTTATAAAATCTCTTACAGTTGATTAGTTTTCTCTTTCGATTTGGCTCTCTTAAGCAACACGCTCTTAAGGACAAGTTGTTATTGCGCAACAACAACAACAACAAAAATAAATATCTTATGCTTACACTTTTTATGCTGTAAACTAACAGAAAGCTCTATTCTATTCTAAACGTACTAAATAAAATACTTATACGATACGTAATGTAATACGTACATTACAAGCGATTGTTGTTGTTGCAGCTGCTTTTGTTGTTTACGCATTGTGTGTCAATCGGTTTCATTAACCCCAACGATATTATGTGTGTGTATGTACACATACAGATACATGTGCAGAGGCAGAAAGGTCAACAAAGTACGTTTCATGGACACACCACACTTGCAATTCTGTTTTCTTTTTTTTTCGTTTTGATGTGGTGTTGTTTTAGACTTTGTGATTTATTAATTTAGATTTGATTTATATTTTATAGAGCATTTTATTTTTGTTATTTAGCTGGAAAAATATAAATGCCTTCAATTTGAAATTTTGTAATGTATTCCTTTTAGGGTTAAATGATAAGTTTTGGATGTTTTCGATATTTATTTTAAGTTTGTTTTGTTTATGTTTGTTTTCCTCTAAACGAGGGATGTCCCGCATTGTTGTTATTACAACGCCCACTTTTACAATCTCAGCACCTGCTTTCTCCTTCTCACCACAAACTCGGGTCATTGCTTGGATTTCTATTCCCAAGTCTCTTCGTCTTTCCCTCAGTACAGTACACTCTCTAAATGGCAATAATATAAAAAACACTTTCTTTTAATAAAACTATAAAAAAGTGCGACAAAATGTGATCATTTGAAGTAAATTTGGACTTATATTGCCTAAAAACAAGTGACTTATCAATAACACCCGAGTCTGTTGTGGGTTCACTATATCGAGCACCCACTTTATCCCTGTTGCAACTGCAAAAATGCGGAAGAATATGTAACGCAATGCAGAGGGGCTAGGCATCACCAGGAAAACGAAGAAGAGAAAAAATAAATAGAGAACCAAGAAGAATCGGTTGCAAAACGAAAACAAAATGAACTGCAAAGTCTGGCGATCGCAGACAGCTAGAAAAATAAATTAAGTAGAAAAGGGGGCTAACAACTCCGAAGATTTGCCACTAAAGGAGGCCTAGAAATGAAGATAGGTTTCAGATATAGAAAAAATTAAAAATTAAACCACAATACTTTTAGTTTGACAAAGGTATAATGTTCGTATATGGATCTAGTACCACTGTCAAAAAAATGAATCTAGTTTAACTGATGGCAAAAACCATTCCTAACATTCTTGGTTTTTACAAACTATATTAATTCTGTTTTTTTCGGAGCTAATGATTTATGACTAATATTTGTTTGGTTTTAAATAATTCTTAATAACTCAATTTATACGTCTTCAGTAAACCAAGTTAAATTACATAGACGACACTGGGAGTTATTTGGATTAGCACATTTTGACTTTTTCTCTAGGGGCAGATTGATTAAATAGTTAATTGGACAGCAAAGTCTGAATGTAATTCAAAAAGGGCCCCTAACGTCACTGAATTTGTTCAATGCATCCCAATAACTCTGTGGCGTAACCCTGTTGCAAGCCCCATCCCCGAAGGCAGGTGCAACAACAGTTGGCCGAGGGCAGGTTCATCCTGGGGGATACACCCGCCACCCTGTCCCGATTTCCCCTGCCAAAACAAAAAGTCCCCCTAAAACGAGACGGAGAATACACGGCAAAACACCAAAGGCACAGGCAAAGGCAAACCCAAAGGCAACCGGGCGCATGCAAATAAAAATAGATTTTTCTCGGTATATAGGATAACGACCACCAACGACCCCAAAGTTGGGACGCCGACGTCGGACGGTGACGTCGGACGCCAACGTTCTCGGGCAACGACCGGCAAAAAACAAACGCAAACGCATCCAAAGTTTGCCTACCCCCAAGCAGAAGCTGCTCCTCCAATCGCTCCCCATCTGCTTGTCTCGTTCTATTTCCCTATAGCCCTCTCTTTCAGCTGCTGTCTCTCACTAGGGTGGACCAGTGTGGTGAATAGCTATTAAAGGCTTTAAGCCTTTGTTTCACAAGATGCCTTAAGTAACTCATATTATATCCTTAATTCCGTTAATGTAGTTATGTGTATTTTGATGGCATTAGTTTCATAGGGTCTAAATTGGTTTCAAATGCATTACATTTATTTATTTATGTTTGCCATTCCCAATAGTGCTTAGAATATAAAAACAATATTAAATTCGCTTGAAACTAATAAAGAGTAAGTGCTCAAAAGTAGTCTTGTCCTGAATCGTTTGAATTATTAAGAAAAGAAAGCGATTCGAAAATACTTTGTTTAAATAAAAGGGACTCAAATTAGATGCCTGTGGAACAAGGACCACCCTAATGTTCACCTTCCCTTCTTCCGTGTGTTTGTCGAAGAGAGAGTTCTCTCTTTAGGTCCTACGCTCACACACACAGCCACAGGCACGCAAGACACGTATTACGTATACGTAGGGGTTGCTGACCTCTTCTCAGGGTCGCCGAAGGTTGTTGAACTCGCCGTCTGTCTCGCTCGCACCCGTTCGGGACCGGCCCTTGTCTGTTGACGAGGGTCGCCGTGCTCCCTATTTGCCCCGCATCTCCCCGCCACTTCTTGCACCCCGCACATGCCCCTGCGCTCCTGTTTTGCGGCCTGAAATGTGTGCTGGTCGTTGGCCTTTCCTTCCGCGTCCTCGCCCTCGCCCCTCTCTGTCGCTCCTTCGTGACGTAATGTGGCAACAGGGCATTCCCGATTGCCGCTGCTTCCTCTTCCTTCGGCACCTACCCCATCCCCCTCCACCATTGTTGCCGCTGCCTTTTGTATTCCCATTTATTCGCTTTTTTATTTAGGGGAAGCGAAATGTAGGGCTGCTGCTGATGCACTCTGCATAGTTCAACATTGTCTGAGGTTAGGGTTGAATGCTCGACGGGTCCGGGTCCGAGTTCGAGTCCGGGTCTGCTCTGCTTTGCTCCGCTCTTTTCTGGTCTCGAACCAATCCAATGCAAACTAACTATTACGTTTATTGCAATCTGCAGTTTGCGACACGTTTTAAAGGGAATTATCGATTTATCCGCGCTTGAGATACTCCGTTTACTGGTATTTTTCTCAAGCTCACTTGTCAATACTTGTTTTTCAGATATCTGTTAGTTTTGGCATTTTCATATTAGCAACAAGGCTTATTTAAAACTGTTTTACTTTTTGCACTCTAATGTGTAATGTTAAGTAAACAAACAGACTTAGTATCATATGTATGATTGGTCTAACAGTATATTAGAAGTATTATTAATAATTTCTTGATTTTAATATTTTTATATAATTTTCTTTAAGATTTAATGTAAAAATTATATTTCATGAATTCATTAAAAGTAGTAAGCCACTGAAATACAGTTTTATGGTAGGGCACCATATGTCGAATACCACTTGATTTTCAAACAGTTCCAAAAAAATCTATTGATAAATGACCAAAGTGGAACTTTTTCACAATTTCTAGCTAAATGATTTGTGAAACAGAAAGATTATTTAACACATGATTCATCTTTATATTTACATCGCAGCCACAAAGACTTCCCGATTGTTTTCGACTGCTTGTGGCAGAATTGAAAATTGGTAATGCCCAGGTCAATTTCCTTGTTCGTAATCTTTCGCATACCACACCAGGCAACAGTGACTTTTCGTATCTGATTCTTCTAGGCCTTTAGTTTTTCTTTCCTCCTCTGCCCCCTCTTCTTCCTCCCCTTTTCCCACTCCACAGTTCTTGATATTTACTTCACTTTTTGCTGTCGCCTGGTTTATCAGTCGAATGATTGGCGCGTGGTTAGCTTTTATCGGTCATTCGCCTTCTTCACCAAGTGTGGGAGAGGGAGAGTAGATGGAGAGAATGGAAGAAAAGAGGATAGGAGAGAGTGGAGGGGGGGTGAAGGAGGAGTGGGCGGAGAATCTAGGAGAGTGCGTAGTGGTCAGCAATGCGTCACAATCAATCACACGCAGAGCGAAAGGGAGAGAAAGCGGGGCAAAGAGAGTGCGGTTGGAGGAGGATGAAGAAGGCGGAAGGGGCGAAGGGGGCAAGAGGAGGGAGAATAAGAAGGAAAAAGCCATGACCGTGAAGTTTAACGCCCCCGGGCAATGTTAACGTCGACGTCGACGTCGACGAGGCTGGCAGCGCTGCCCACAGTCCACAATCTGCAAGATACATCCCACAGCGCCACCTTTCGCGTTCCACGTTTTAAACGAGTTCCACGCACGAAAAATATAGAAGTCGACTAGTTAAAGGTTTCCCCAAATGTACTTACATTTTACTTCAATACTAATTGGACCCATTTTAATGAATACAGCTCCTTAGTTTGGGTATATTTTCTTCTCCTTTTAACTACTAATACCAAATTTTTAAATACTGCTGTTCCAAAAAAGAGACCCAAAAACAACCGCACTTCTAAGTCCATAACGTTTTTATTTTTGATCCGATTTTAAAAAGGGATATCTCTAAATGATTGTGGCTATATTCTCTAAAAATCTGCATTCAAAACTTGGTTTGTAAATTTTGGTCGATTTTTGGTCATTTTTCATGAAGTTCATAAATTTTCAAAAAATGGCTTTCCGGAAAAGTTACCTAAAACCGGCACTTCAGAGCCCATAACTTTTCTATTTTCTATCCGATTTTAAAAAGGGATACCTATAAATGTTTGTGGCTTAATTCTCTAAAAATCTGCATTCAAAACTTGGTTTGTAAATTTTTGTCGATTTTTGGTAATTTTTCATGAAGTTCCAAATTTTCAAAAAATGGCTTTCCGGAAAAGTTACCTAAAACCTGCACTTCAGAGCCTATAGCTTTTCTATAGCTTTTCTATTTTCTATCCGATTTTAAAAAGGTATACCTCTAAATGCTTGTGACTTAATTCTCTAAAAACCTGCATTCAAATTTCGGTTTGTAAATTTTGCCAGATTTTTTGTCATTTTTCAAATATTAAAAAAATGGCTTTGCAGAAAAGTCAATCATTTGTTTTGAATTCTGGGTCGATTTTCTTGACCAATATTTTAAATTTTCAAAGAAGGCAGAAATCAATTTTAAAAAAACACACTTTTTACTCGATTAATGGAAGACGGAGGATTTACATTTTGGTTTGTTGTGAGTGTCTGCGAAAAGGGCGAAATCAACGCTCTTATTTGACGTGCCACCCCCTCTCTTCCCCCGCCCCTTCGTCTTTGTCTGTGGCGACGGCAGAGGCAGCGACCGCGACTGCGACTGCGGCAGAGACGTTGTCGTTTTTGTGGTTTGACATTGAACTCGAAATTGATGCGCCGCTGAGCAAATGCGTGGCCACTCCCCCTCTCCCCTCTCCCCTCTCCCCTACCACTCACTCACCCGCCTCTCTTGGCCAACACCACCCACTCGCTAGCCCCCTTCGCTCTAGCCAGCTCCAGCTTATTAGCCATTTTGCTTTGCCACCTTTTTTCCGTTTTTTTGGCTTTTGGTATGGAGGGCAAGTTCAGTGAACTTTCGCATAGAAAGCGCGCAGCAGAAATCTCTTTTTTTCGGCTTTGACTTTCGAGCTTGCCGAAATCTTGGTGTTTGTGTGTTGTGTGTATGTCTGTTTGTGAGATAGTGTGGGAAATAAGGTGTGTGAGCATGCTAACAATTAGCTAGTGACCAAGGGCTGGAAACGTTTGTTGACCAAAAACACCACTGGAAAATATTACATTAAAAATAATACTTTTTTTAATATTTTTATTTTTTCTAGTAAACAAATCTTTTTACTAATGGAAACTATTAAAATAATGTTGACATCTTGAATTTACCTCTCATTAGGGATAGTTAACATTTAAAAAATCGAACTCCAGGTTAATTAAACTATTATATTGTTTATTTAAAGATTGAAATTTTACTTATTAGATACTTATTTTTTCATTTTTCAGGTCATGATCGATGGATTCTTTGGCAAAGTACTACAAACCTAAAACACGGCGGTTGGCAAAAATTGGGTTTTATGTGAGAATCATTCAAAAAATTTTCCTCGAATTTATATGCATTTATAATGTAACAAAATGTCCTGCGACTAAAATAAATTGAAATGTAAACAAGGAAATTAAAGTGTTTTATAGCGGCAATTTATTAAATTGAGGCAGAAATTATATAAGGCATTGCCACGTTACAATTCACTTCTTTTTTATTTAATTTGATAAAAGAAAAATCAATTTAAATAAAAGCAAAGGTAGAAATGTTTGCATATGAATTCATATGCTACATAAATCAAATAATTATGAGCCATCTAGGAACTGTTTTCGTTGCTAAAAACAGCAATCAGAAACATTCTTTATGTACACATGTATATGTACATACATCCATATGTATGTATGTATGTAGTTACGATCATAAGATTTCTTTTTTTGGGCAGGAAATAGACTTAATGCAAAAGACGGAGAGAAATTTGGCTGAAAATGGCTAAAAGATAAGGTCATAAGCAGCGGACTAACGGAATCGGTGCGTGTACATTTTATTCTTAGTTTTTGTTTTTATTTTTTGGCTCTCCTATATGCTCCATATACATATTCAAAGAACCGAATTAAGTTCATAAGCGACTAAAGAAAAGACCAACAGCAACAACAATGGCAAAGCTCAAGAGCGGCAGCAACAGCAAAAACAGCGACGACCAATTTTATGAAAGTCACAGTCAAGGTCAACATGCGTGCAAAGAGCGAGCGGGATGGCAAGAGTTCTGGCTGAAAGAAAGAACCGCGGATCTTTGTTGTTAATGTGTATGGAAGGTTGGGGTGGACCTGGGAGGTATGGAAAATCGGACCCATTCCCAGCAAGTTACAATTTAAGGTCTATAAAGGAATTTAAAGAATATAATTTGAGCTTTCCGGCCCACAGGGCGTATGTGTAACTTTTAAAACCAGTCGTATTTTTGCAGATTTTAAGCTTCTAAGCTTTGTGAACTACAAAAATGTTTTATTCAAGTAATACATTTTAGTTAAATTTTGAATATGACATTGCATCACTGCAAAGTGATTAATTTAAGAGGATTTCAACCTGAGATGTTATATATAAAAGATAGAGAATATTTGGAACACAAAACTAACATTCTTGCATTATTGATTTCCTCAGCAACAGGTGAATGCGGGTAGTATAATATGGTAGAATTGAAATTGAAGTACGCCCAATTTTCCCGATCTAAACTGGTCCACCCCATGGAACATATTTTCGCTTTGCTTTCTATCTATGATAAGCACACAAAGAATTTCTTATTCGCACGAATGCAAAAGAAAGTGTGTGTGCGTGTATGAGAGTGTGGGTGCGGTGGCGATCAACAAGGAAGTGCACAAAAATCGAAGTAGCCAACGAAAGGCAAAAAGCAACCATCGCAGGTTAAAACGGAGCCAAAAGCAGGAAAACAAACGAAATCAAATAAAAAGTAATAAAAAAATGACTCACTTGATCCCCACGGCACACCAGCACCAACACAGGCGCAAACGCACACAGCGCGCACACACAGATACAAAATGGCTAGGTCGGTCGTTCAACCTGAATCCAAGAGAGCCAGTAAGAGAGCGATTTTATATATTTTTTTGCTTTTTTTCTTTTTTGAACCGGCTTTTTTCGTTTCTCTCTCTCTCGCTCTCTCCCTCTCTCTCGCTCTTTATTTCATAACGCTTCTGGTTTCAGTTTTGTTGTTGTTGTTTAGGGTTTAATGACATTGCCGGTTCATCTTCGTCGTTGTTTTTTTTTCTTTCCTCCCCTCTTCTCTCTTCTCTCTTTATGTTTTTATTTTTATTCGTATTCGTTGTCGTAGTTGTTCTTTGCGGCTTGTTTATTTATTCTTGCAAGGCAAATACAACTACTACAGCAACAACAGCAACACTCTACTCTGCCGACTGTACAGTGAATACAAATGTAGAAATAACTGGCGGCTCCAGGCGACCAAAGTAACCGAAGGAAAGCTACAAAATCACACCGCACTTTCCCCGAAATAATCTGGAATTTTAAATTACAATTCGCTATAATCCGAAGAACTATAATCTGAAAAAATTGTATTTGTATCTTAAAGTTGTATCTCAAAAATGCTATACTTAATAGATACATTATCTCAACGGAATTAGATCATTTATTGTTTAACCATAAAATAGCCATTTAAATTGTTGTTTACTACCTGTACTCAAGTTATTATTGACGTGGGATGTGCAACAATAATAAAAGCAACAACAAATTGCTGCAACTTTCTGCTGGGCTGTATTTTTACTTTTCAGTTGTTGTTGTTTTTGTTGTTGCCTGCCCCCGACGACGCTGCTTTGCTTCCTCTTTTTGCTTTTGCTTTTTGATTTTGTTTCTGCTTTTGTTTTAGCGCGTTCACAAATGTGTGTTAGTTGGCGGTCATTCACACTGAACGTGCCCTTTTTGTTGTTGTTTTTCTTTTGGTTCGTTGTGCGCGCTTTCTGTGTGTTTGTGCCTGTGTGCGTGAGGGTATCTGTGTGTGTTTGAGTGTGTGTGTGTGTGTGGAGCAACTTCAACTTAAACTTGACGTTTAACATTTTTGAATTTTTTTTTATATCTTTTTTCCAAATCTTTGACGCATATGTATCTTTTTTACCACATTATGAACATGTGAGAGTGAGAGGCAAGATGTTTGTAAATGGTTTTTTATTCGTCGAATGCACTGATATTTGCATTTGAGCTGGAATTGACGTCACGGATTACGCAATTCCGCAAAAACCGACTAATTTAACCATATCTGCTCGAAAATCGCCGAGTGAAAGAGACAGCAAGCGAAGGGGGAAAGCATGGGCGAAAGCACACAATCACACAAACACAAGGGGGCGGAATGGTAATGGGAGTAGTGTAAAAGTAAAAGGTCATTGAACGAACATTGTACCTATTTCTGCTATTTACACACACACACAGTACCATTCTCACATGGATGTGCTCGTGTTTAGGTGTGTTGGTGTGTGGGCGAATTGTTATTACTATTCGCCAGTTACAAAAAATATATACACAAAGCGAACAAATTAAAAGAGAAACCCGAACTTCCGATAACAAAGTTGCAGATACTCTATACAGGTTTTACTTCATAAGGAGGGCATTACTAATGTCCAATGGACTCCCAAGGCGTTATACGGTTTTTAATAAATCATTGAGTTAAATTCCTAAAATATAAATTTCATTAGAAATTATTATATAATAAGGACATTATAAGAACTTAATGTTTGGAACAAAATATTATTTTTGACAATGTTTCTCCAAAGCTATGTTTAAGTATTTTTAAGCACAAACCGATATTTACCTTTTCAAACCCCATTTTCAAACAGCTCTTTCTGCAGCCACTGCCAATGAACCTCTTAGCTGGGAAAGGGCAAGCTGAGTAATGGCTTTTGTATTCCGTACTCGAACAAGTCAACAACCGAGCGGAGAAATTGGGGAATTAAAGTGGAAGTGAAATGGTGAAATGGCCGAAAGCCATAAAGCCAGAGGCAAAAGATCGCATCTATCGCACAAAATCAGATCGGATGGGTTTGGATCTCGGCAGATATTTCGCATTCCCCGGCGTAGCTCATTAGTCAGGACGTATCTGACGGATCGTCATAAGCGTGAGATCTTCAGGCCGCGAGTCCAAAGGCCGCAACGTGATCACTCCATCTTCTGTTGGCCAAAGAAAGCGGCCAAAATTGCAAAAGTCGCTAAAACGACGAGGCGAAGAAAGAGCGCAGCGAAAAAAGTGCCAACCTGGCTTAAAGTGGATGACAGGCCGACCAATATTGGTTGGAACAAAAGGTGTCCAATTGTGACCCCGAACATCGTGATTCATCGGGGTATTGGGAAAGTGCAATATACGCGGAAGTCGATTTGAAATTCCAGAGAACACACGCTTAAGGTGTTTCGTAACTTTCGAATGACTCCAGTTTCAATATGATCATATTCCTGGTTGGAGAAAGTTCTGGAAGCAATCTTTGCTTAAAAAATGATTACGAAGGTCCTAAGAAATAAATGGAGTTAACGAATAACTTGTGAATAAATACTTTACTGTACTACAATCATCATAAAACATTAGAATTTCGATTTTGGGGTACTAATGTGATTTACGAAATCAATAATATTGGCATACGAAATTGAAACGACGTGGGAACTATTATTTTTTTATGGATTTTTTTTAGGCAATTTCGAAATGTTTTGAAATTTCTCCAGAATGAGAAAAAGGAAGCTGATGAACAAGAAAGCAATCAATCCAACGGCACATAATTAGTAATCATGACTAAGGGTTAGGAAAGCGCGTGACAAAGAGGGAGAAGGGAGAGAGGAGAGGAGAGGGTGCGAAAGGGAGACAATAAGAACTTTATCGAGGCACTGACCCTTGGGCGATTTATACATTACGTATGTATGCATGGGTGGTACTGACTTCACGGACCCTCCCCCTCCTTCGCTCCTGGCCCCTTTCCACCCGCCTCCCACCCGTCACTATGCGTAATATTGTCACAGCTATCAAATGGCAAGAGGAAAAAGTACAACGACAAACTAGAGATAAGGAAAATTCCTCCTCATTCCTTTCAACTTTACCCAAGATTCGATTGGAATCAAGCCACTGTGAACCAAGTGGTATGTGGCATGGGGAACGCGGAATGGAACGGGACGAAGAAAGCGGAACGCAGCTGATAACCATGTTTACGTGTGGAGTTCTCAGGTGCATACCCACCTTATCCCAATGGAGTTATTGTATACGCGCTAAATAAACTTCAAGTTCATTGGCATTAATTAAAATGCAAGGCGAAACAAAATGAATCCACACGAATCGAAACAAAATGAAATGAAACAAAAGCGATAACCACAATAAGTTGTAACGCTCACAATATGCAACAAAAGTTTTATAAAAAGAAAAGTGAGAACAAGTCTCGCTTGAGATTATTATATTGTTACTATGACACCTTATAAAGAAAACTATTTCAAAACAATAATTACTCATGACAATTTGGATATGGCGAAAATCCAGCTAGTGTTTTGGGAGATACATTTCTATAAGGATATTCAAATAAATATTTGGTTTTTATTTATTTCCTTTTAGGCGTAAGTATTTTCATAAATCGCATATTCTTTGGTATCTTAGAAACAACTTTAGGTCCATAATCTTAAGATTTTCCAAAATTAATTTAATTTTTTTTTGGTAATCCGAATTGTATTCTGAAAAAGCTATTCTTTGATATGTTTCAAATAAGATTTTTGAAAATGGTCCCACTTTGTTTTACCGAGAAAGACATTTAAGTTTCTTTAAAGATTGCTTTCGACATTTGACAGCTGGCAGGATTACGGATGCAGGATTGGAAGCCATTTGATTTTTGGATTTCTGGCTGCATGGGCATTTTTCTGTATTTTCCCTTAATTGGCCACCCAATGTGAGTGCGTGTGTGTGTGTGTGTTTGCTTAAACCTTGCCTCCCAATCTTGCCACCCTCTCTGTCCATCTCTTTCTAGCACATGTGTGCCTTGTAAAACGGGGGTTACATGACATTGAAACCGAATTTGAAGGTTTCAGCGTTTTGTGTTTCTGGACAGGGTAAGTTCTACTGCTTGGCCAGAAATACCTACGAAAAGAAAAACATCAAAAACGAAAAACGAAAACCGAAAACCGAAAAACAGACACAAAACCAGAATAAAGCGTTGCCCCTTTTTTACGGGTTCTTCCTTGTTTCTTTGCTGTAATGGCGAAATATACACAAATTTTGGAATCTCTCTGACGCCCTTGTCACTACATTTTTGGTCATTGGCCTCGCACGAACACACAGATACGGCGCACACTTGCACAAGTACGCCAGTGGCGTGCGCAGAGGGGATCGGGGTCTTGAGGGGACCGGAACAGCAGCTACTAGTTGGTGTTCTGAATATGTCTGTTAGTAAGCAATCGTTGCAACAACTATTACCAATAAACTGGACGATTAATCTAATTATTCTCGGGCCGTATTTCCCTGGGGTGCGAAACCCCCTTGAGAAACTCCCCCCTCCACCCCTGAACCCATACATATATAGCACTATAGAGCCATTTGGGACTTGGTAACAAGCGGCAGTCGTAATTCGAAGAAGCAGGGAGCAAAAACAAAACAATGCCAATGCCCAGACCTTACCGCCACCTACCACCCCCCCTTTCCGTCCCCCGCCCTGCTCACTGGATCCACCCCCTCGGTTCCCGCGCCCTGTGGAGAGTCCCCAAGTTCCAGGCGTTGTTATCGTGCGTTCGCCAACCCACCCGCTACTCACAAACACACTCAAACTCACACACACATACACACACACATCGACAATCAGGAAGAAGAAACCAGCCAATAAAGTTGTGGTGGGAATAACGCCGCCATTTGGATTCCCTTTTTCCATTAGATGGTCTATTTGAATAGGTAAACTTTTGGCAATCTTTAACAGACACACAAATTCACTATTAAAACATTTTCTTCTTTTAAATTACCTAAAATATTCAGAAGTTAAAGGTTCTTTAACGTACTTTTAGAAACTGATCACATTTCCCGTATCTTTTCTTTATTATAGCTTTGCGATTACAGGTATCTTTCAGTATTCCATAGTTGTGGCATTAATAAGTATTGTTAGGCCATTAAAACAAAATTCATATTAACCTAGAAAGGCTAGGCATTATCCCATTTTAATAATAAATATATTCATATATATATATAAAAACATATTCAACAGAATACAATGAAATTCATACGTACATATGTACATATTATGTTTCTTATTAATTGGGTTTCGGAATTCGCATATCGAACTAATGCACAGAATGGGAAAATGGGGGTGGAAAGTAACAAAAACAATTGAGGAAAAGGGCATCTGTGAAGTCGATGATATAATTGAGTTTTTAGTGGCATCAAAATCGTAGTCATCGACATTCAGCATCAACGATTGTTTATCAATGTGTAAATAAGCAGCGTTCCGTACTCGTATTCGAATTTCGTATCTGTGTGTGCGTTCCCAAAAATTTCAATAGCAAAGGTCGATGAACTCGCGCCAGCGCGAGAGAGAGAGAGAGAGAGAGGGCGAGAGAGAGCGCACATTTTTCCATTTTTTGTTACGTTTCTGTTCCGCATTTCTCTGAAAATTTCTCTCGGCTCTCTTCGGCTCTCTCTTCGGCCGCGGTGTTTTTGAATTTGCGCGCGCTTCCTCGTTCATTCATAAACAGAGAGCGGCGAACTCGTTCGAACTGTTTTTTTTTTGCTTTTGAGTTATCTCGGCCAGGCCAACGAACCGGGCTCTGACATGTGCTTCCACCCCCGCCCCTGGCCACCACCACCCCCCGTGAACTTTAAGGCGCGGTGACTAAGCGCGCCCTCTTAAACTCCTGAACTTAGGCCCGCTCTATAACCGCAGACACGCCAATTATAATGCAATCACCCGGATTATTGGTCGCTAATTAAAGAGTTTCGCGATTTGGTGAAGTTCCCCGGATATGGAGTTAAATATTCATGTTCAATGCAAAGGCAGTCCAATAGCTCAAGCATTTAATTGAAAGAATTAAAGAGGTGAATTCACTAAATTGTACAATACTTATGGTTCTGTGGAAGAATGTATTTATATCTTAGTTTGAAATTCAATGTATTAAATTATACAAATTCAATCAATCAATAGGGGATACAATTCTATTGCCAATGGTGTCAGTCTCACCAGAAATCTGAAGCCATTGCATAAATATCTAAGCCAATGAAAGGTGTCTGTAAAAGATGGAATTCTACAAGGGTGTTAAAGCCTTTTGAGATTTGGAGTTCCTTATGTAATCGCGTATAGTATTGAATATATCTGCCTTCCAAGACACTTTCAATTTGGAAAAGATATTGGTTCTTGGTATCCCCATCTTAGCTTTATCCTTTTTGTTTGTTGTGTTCAAGGGTTAGTCCAAAATGGGGAAACAAGGGGGACTATCCCCCCCTTCCTATATGCTCGTGGTGAATTAGGAGGGGTACTCACTTCAATTGGTCCCGTTGCAGCGGTGGCATCTTTGTGGCATTCGGCTGGCGCTTTCTTAATGGCCAGCGTTTGCGAATACCGTTGATCCTGGAGCCGAAAACGATACGGATATCGATGGTGGTGTTGGAACTGGGGCGATATCCATGCTCTGCCAGCAAGCGATTCACCGATTACCGTTAGAAGTTAATTTGCGGTTGGTTTTAATCACTTTTTGTTTTACTTTTTTTTTTTTAGCTTTTTATAGCTCACAGCAAGACACAAGCTCTGCTTCTTCTTCTTCTTCTTTGTATTTTTGGGGGTTTAAGAAACTTTGGATTTGGATTTGTTGTTGTTGTTGTTGTTGATGTTGTTCACATTAGTGTATTTCTTTCGTTTTGTTTTGAGGTTGTTGAATCAAGATTTAGCAGCTGTTGATTTTTCATAGGCTTTTTAGTTATATATTTGCATTATATTTCGGGTGGGGGAAACGTCAGCTGCAACAGAACACACACATAAAAAATAGAATTAAAAAAAAAATACGTCAGTGGCAAAGTAGCATTATGCATTTTATGCGCCGCACACACACACACGCACACACACAAAACAAAAACAAAGCCAATTTTTTAGGATCTTTCAAAATACATATTTCTATTTTTGCTGTCTTTGTTTTTTTTTATTTAATATTTTTTATTTTTTTGTTGTATGCATAATTAAGCTTTTTGTTGCACTTGTCAAATTGTCGCACACACACACACACAGATACACAATGCACTTTGCTGCTAGAGCGAGGTGGTCGTAAAAATTTATTTGATTTATCCAATCTTTGGTGGTAAAAAAAAAAAACAGTCGTGGCAACAAATAAACGTAAAAAAAAATTGTTATTTTATTTTGATAATTTCTTGTGGAACCAACAACGGAAATGCCGTTTGATATTCGAAGCGTTTGCTTTCCGGGCGCGCCAACAACGGAATAACTCGCTTGAATCGCTAGGGGTGGGGGAACATCGATGCCAACGTCGATATCGTCGATATATTTAGCACATCGGTGATATCGATGTTTGGCAGGGCATCATCGATGGTCTTCCATCCCTAAAGAGCGCTTAACACGGTGGGTGTTCTTGCTTATTACGGGGTAAGTCCCCGCTGCATTCGGGGTAAGTCCTCGCTAAAATCGGGAAAAGTCCCCGCTATGAGCGGGGGATGTCCCGACTATAAACGGGGTAAGTCCCCGCTACCGATTGAGAATGTCCCCGCTAACTATCGATAACAATGGTGTATCCGCCAACGCTGCTAACATCCATGTTTTCCCATCTCTAACTTTGAAAAATGTTCACACTAAAAATATCGACAGAGTTCTGACAGACTGTTAACGAATCCATTCCAGTGCACTGTTAACACCAAAAAATAAGCAGTGTAAGAAATGAATGCTTATATAAATAGTAAATAATGTTGAAGTTAGGGACATTTTAAAAATTAAAATCATTTATTTATTATCTTCAATTAATACATGCCATTAACTTAACTCTACAAGCATTATATATTTGCTTGAGACATTTTTAAAATGTGTTTAAATAATTATCATGTTAAAGTTGTTTGCAAAAGCTGAATGCGGAATAAATAGAAGTTTATATAAATTGAACTGTGTAAAAAAAAACTAAACTAAACTAAATTGTAAAATTGGAAATTCTTTAATTGACGCAAGCCAACAAATAAAAAACATTTTATAGACACATTTTCGGAAAAGCACAAGTAGTTACGGTTGATTTTTATTTAAGTTAATAGTTGTTCCATGAATTACAAAGAATTACATTTTTAAGCCATCTTTATAAGGCACTAAATACACTAAAACTACATACTCATCTTTATTTAACAAAATATTAAAAACAACATATTTTTAGACACCATTTTTTCAATTTAAAATTAAATAGAAAAACTGCAAAGAAACATAAATACAAAACGTTGACATTATTTAACCATTAAAAGTTAACTGTTGCTACAAATACATATTTTTCACTTCTTAAATTGATAAGTTGCAATTCCATTTACAAAGTGAGATTTGGGTTCAGTGAATACATAAATAAAAAAAATAAGTTTTCGATTCAAATAAATTCAAAATAATAAACTGAATATAAGAACCCTTTCCATTAAATACAGTAGACAAATGTCCAAAAGAACAAGTTGAAGACGAGGAAGGCAAGCGGAAAAACGAATCTCGCCCGGCTGTCGATCCACATGGCGATTTCCTGGGGGGTCAGAGTGGTCCAGCCACTCAGGTCGATCTCCTCCTGGTGGCTCCCGCATCCACCTCCGCCATCCGGTTTATTGTTGTTCAAAGTCTGCGAGCTGGCTGCCGAGCTGATGGCCCCACTAGACTGGGCTGCTCCCATGGATCCGGATTCTGGTCTGGTGCCAAAGGCACTCTCCACGAAGTTGACATCCAGTTTCTGGATTCCCCTGGTCCTCTGTTGGTCCAGAACTTGGCCCTCCTTAATCGTGGTGATGGGCAGATTGACAGTAAGGTAATTGTTGAATCCGGCACCGGCCAGCGAGCTAGTATCTGTGGATTTTTGTAGGGCAGTTCCCGAAAACGATCTGGACCGCGCGTGACTACGTCGTCTCATCAGATTCGGCGATAGGGTGGACTTCAGAATGTGTTTGCTGTTCAGTTTCTTGACCGGCACACTGTTCTTGCGCCGCCAAATGGTGTTGACGAAGGCGAACTCCACCATGCTGCCGAATATGAAGATGGTGCAGCCGAGGAACCACACCTCCGACACCTTGATGTAGCTGACCTTCGGCAGGGTCTTGCCCTGCGCCGAGGCGAGGGTTATGAAGGTCAGCAGGGTGCTCGTGCCCAGCGTGATCCTCGGTGGCGCCTGGTCCGCCTGCAGCCAAAAGGAAACCCACGATATGGCCACGATGAGCATGGAGGGAAGGAAGTAGTCCATCAGGTAAAAGCCCACCACGCGGGTCAGATGGACGGTGAAGCTGAGGGAGCTGTAGTTCCCGGCAAAGGCTCCGTGCCGCAGGTCACTCAAATCGGCGTTGATGACCGTCTCGTTGGACCAGGATCGCTGCAGTACGAACTCGGTGAGATGCAGGGCGCCATCGTAGGTGATTGGCCGCTTCTGCTCCCAGTGGAGCACCAGCTCCGAGGTGTTGTACATCCAGCTCTCCAGGATCGTCGAGCAGTGCTGTTCGTCGAAGGGGAATTTCTTCAGGTTGAGCCAGCAGTAAAGTGTGGCCTTAATCCTGTTCGAGACGATCACCGTGCCGTCGGGGGAAATCGAGGTGAGGATGTCCTTCTCCGTGAGACCTGCCAAATAAAGGTGATTACTTGGTTATAATTCAATATTTTGGATTCTAAAAGGGGCTTTTCTTTAAGGTTATTTGGTATACTATTTATTATATCAAATTAAAAGGAATTTCATTCCTTTTAAATTTTTGGTTGATAATAATAGATAGTTTTAAATTACCAATGTTTTTTGATGAAAACTAAACAATCTTTAGTATCCAGAGATCTTTATAATATCTATAAGGTTAATGCTATTAGTATAAGGTACTTTTTAGATCCTGTAGAATAACCCGATATAATCTTAATATATGTACATACCTAAATTAAGAACATGTAAGCTTAGATTGGGTACAAAACAAATGGGCTCTATACAGAAAAGTTCCCCTGGTTGAAAGTACTCACCCAATATGCTGGAATCCCTCTCGTTGGCCAGGAAAATGTGGGGCATCCATAGGGAGTCCCTCATGTGCTGTTCCCCCAAAATGGGCTGTCTCCTTTTGGGACTTACGTTCCGGAAATTCAGACGCGGATCGAGATAGCGCATCTGGAGCAGGGCGTATATCTTGAACTGCAGGTCGTGGGCCTCCAGATTCTGCATGAAATATATGTAGGCACGCATATAGACGTCCACGGGAAGTCGTTGTCCGGTTTCCGAATAAGTTATGGGCCGTTCCAGTCGGTCATATCGACAGCCGTGGGTCAGTCTGTCCAGTAATTGGGTTTGCGACAAACTGTCTCCATCTGCCAACGTTGGACAGTCCTCCTCGAGTGCAGAAACATATAGACAGTTGATCAGGATCGATATGATGAGCGACCAATCCATAATATCCAAATATATACGATTAAACTAAAGCAAAATAAAGCCACGCTATTACAATCCTAACGGATAATGCAAAATGGCGGAAAGCTTAACATACTGCTAACCGGGGAATGTAAAAGCAGAAAATGTTAATGTTAAACTTAAAATTAGGGTTTTAAAATATGCACAATAAATATAGCAGCTTAAAAATTTGAAGTAGCGCCAAATTATTATTTGACTATTAAAACACGTAAGTCGGACTTAAATTAAATAATAAAACATATACCGCACTGTAAACGTTAACTTTGCGTCTTACAGCCCAATGTAAAAGTTATCAGCAAAAAAAGCTAATGTAAATCCAATGTGGCGGACTACAGCTCACTGTTGTGCTTAACAGTTGATGTTAGAAAAGGCGCCAAATTTCAAACATTCCCCAATTTAAAAACGAAAGTCCTTAACGTCTTTACTCATTTATGTTTTTATTGATTTTATTTCACCGCTGCACTTGTCATAAATATACAATCGGGTATATTTCAACATTTACAAAGTTACGCAAGTTTCGTTTTTTTTTCTTTTCTTTTCGTTTTGTAGTTTTCTTTTGTAGTTTCAAACATTTATTTAAATTTATGAATTCGAATTCATTGATAATATGTATGCATAGTTTAATTTTCGTCTCTTCCATTTTATGCTTATTACAATTACAAAAAAAAAACAATTACCTAGATGTAGTTTTATATATATGTATATATTTATGTGTAGCATATTTATGTCGTATTAAGTACATATCTTGTAATTTTACTAAGCTTGATTTACGTATAAAATGTGTCTTGATTAGGTATGGGTATTGCGGATTATGTAGTTGCGTTCTCGATCTTCCTGCTTACACACATAAAAAAGGGGAATTTTTCTATTTATCAGAACATTAAGAAAGTTAAATTTCGAGTTGAGATGATCAGAATTAAATATAAAAACTTTTTCGCAGTCGTCTATAATTTTATTTTCTTGAAAAGTTAAATACAATTTTATGAATAACACTAGCATACAAAATAATTTATTCAAATTAATTTTGTAAGCTAGGGTTATAAAACCGCAAGTTTTGGACGTATATTCACTTTGTCATCGTAAATATAAAAAAAATGTATAAGTAATTAAAATATCTTTGACACTTTAAATGAATATAGCCAAGCTTTTACGCTTAGGTTATTGTGGAAAAAGAATTCAAAATCACGTGACAGGACTAAAAGTGTGCTTAAATGTATTTCAAATGGAAAATCAGCCGAAATCTTACAAAAAACCCTAAAGACTTAAATGCAATGTCTATTATCATCTCATCCTCCCAAATCGGTTATTATTCTTCCTTTTTGCCGTTCTGTTCACTTGAAGTAAGACAGCTATTCTTATTTTGGATTCATTATGGGTTGATGGGCTTGTATTGTTCACTACATTTACTAGTTATCCTTTTTTGGGGGCCACTGTATACAATCGGTTGATCTGCTTAGGAGCTATGGAAATGTATCTTTGCCTCGGCTACAATATATAGTATGTACAGTGATAGTTCGACTTAGGCTACGATCTTTTTGCTGGTCCAACGGGACGCGGTTTGGTTTTCTTTCTTTTTTAAGTGGGGAAATCTCCCTTACGCACACACATACACACTTATTATTCTTAGGTCATATACACCCACGCAACTTTTGGAGGGGCGGAAAAAAAAAACAAAAAAAATACTCATTACACTTTACACACTATACCGATTCGATCTAGGGTTTTTATGACTATGTCTAAGGCTAATCGCTAACTAATACTGATCCGTCCAGTGAATACTTGTCGTCGTTGGCCTTTGTATTATTTAGATGCGCTCCCTGTCCACCTGCGTCTCCTGGAGTTCGAGTTCCGTTTCCTCGGCGAGTGTATAGACCCCGGAGGCGTTGGCCCCGGTGGGCGTGGTCAGGACATCGAGGAGCGGACTGCTCAGCGAGGAGTAGCCCAGTCCCGGATCGCTGCCGTGAGCGATACAGCTGTTCCCCGGCGTGGTCACCTCCCCCGATCCGGGAATCACCGCCGAAGAGGGGGCGGGCGTGTAGGCGGGGGCGGGGGCCAAGCGGGCGCCATTCGGATCCATTGTCAGGATGGGCACCAGCTCGTGGTTTACATAGTCCTTCAGTACCAGCGATGTGGGTGTGTCTGTGATGGAAGGGGATGTAAGTTCACTATTAGTAACTATTCATTTTTCTAATCCTGCTCGAAGGACCTTGGCTGAAAATACCATAGCACTCACCTGTCACCAGGGTCTCTTCGGTGGGGTTGCGCTGGTAGAGATGCCCTCGCTTCTCGTAGTGTCAAGATGCCGGCACATAGTACTGGCCACCCTCCTCGTGCGTCACATCCATCATCGAGCCACCAGGACCACCGGCGCCACCTGGACCACCTGAAACACTGCCGCCGGAGTTCGCGGCACTCGTCTTCTTGAACTCCACCACTATGCGGATCCGATGGACGATCTCCTCGTGGATGACATTGAAACACATGGCCGTTAGGGTCATGCCCGACATGATGTAGACCGAACAAAACCAGGTGGTGGCATTCGATTCCCTACGCAATCCCGGCAGCATATCGCCAAAACCGATCGTGGACAGGCTCATGAAGCAGAAGTATATGCCATCCAGGATGGGCCAGTTTTCCAAGCGATATAAGACGGCGGCGCCGAAGACAATATAGATGATCATCATGGAGAAGCAGAGGAGTATGGGGGCCAGGATACTCAGGCCGTGCATGGAGCCCCTGGATTCGCTGGCACTGAGGGAGTCGATGTCGCCGAGGCCACCGCCAGCAGATCCCCCTCCTCCTCCCGGACCGCCCACATTCGGAGGCGGGGCTCCGCCCACCGCATCCTTTTCGGGCGTGGCATGAAAGACATCCCTCACGTAGTAGGGCTCCTGCATCACGGCCTGCTGCTTGCGCAGCTCCTCCTGCTGCCTCTTCCGCCGCATCCTGCGCTCCTTCTCGGCCATCCGCTTCTCGTCGTAGCAGCAGTAGCCGCAGTTGGAGCACAGGCAGCAGCACAACGCCTTCGAGAAGACCTCGCGGGCCACCCGGGCCAGGATGCTGCCCGTGCTGCTCAGATAGACCAGGGTCAACGGGATGCCGAAGAAGGCGTACGCCAGGGTCACTATCCTGCCGAGAGTCGTCCGCGGTGCAACGTTTCCATAGCCTGATGGGTTAAAAAACATAGTCATTTAAATTGGCCACTGTATGTCTAAAAATATAGGGAAAAACAAATCAATAAAAACTCGAGCCCTATTTTTTATTTTATTTTCCTTTCACATTTCTTTTACATACAACAAAGTGTAGTGCGATACTTCCAATGTTTAGAAAATAGAAAATCCTTAAAGGACCATTTGACATATATTGCTACATAACACTTTGATGGTTTCGAATATCATTTTAAAATGGGTTGTGTAACAATCTCATTAGCTGACTATTTTTGAAATTTAAGTCAATTAATTCTAGAACAACTATAAGATCACCTGGAAGTTTAAAATTAAAAACAGAATAAATATGCAATTATAGCAACAAGTACTTAAAATCTAAAGTCATCTTTTAATGTATTTCTTTTAATAAAAATATGTATTAGTCTCCTTTGTTCCTTATTTTAAAGACCCTACTTATTATATAATGTGCAAGATTTTTCTCTCGAGAAAAAATGCCCATTAACAATTTCCTTTTATTTTTTTTTTTGATTTTCCCACATTAATTTGGCAGAAGTCAATTTGTGTGACTCCCCCGAGAGATCCGACTTATTGACATTACCCAAATGAGCCGTAACTTCACATGTGAGCCCGGTGAACCCCCGATCCCTGTACTTTCTGCCCATTTTCCCTGTTTCTCCCCCATTTTCACCCATGTTGTAAAGGGCACCAAAAATAATTAAGCTGGCAGAGGCAATAAAAATGCTTAACAAGCTTAAGGCCGGAAATTCCCTAAGGAAGGTAAAAAAAAAGGGGGGCGGGGGCGGGAAAACAATTGAGCAGGTGGGCGTGGCACGCACACACACACCGCATGGGCAATCGTTGTCAGGTGTGTCATGCATAAATTTGAAAATTTCTTAATTTTATTGTTTTCTTTTTCTCTCATTTCTCTGACGGCGGTTTTGCGATATATTTTTTTATTTACACGTGGGCGTGGTTTACTTGGTTTATTTGGTTTATTCTATTTTTTTTATTGAACAAATGTTGCCCCAGTGGGAAGTGAGTCATTTGATATTGGAAGGAAGCAAATGAATCGAATCAATATGGGGGTATCACATGTGGCAGGGCTCAAGTGCCTCCGGCTCTTGTCATCCTGAAACGAGGAATTCGGTTGGCGGTGGTTGCACAGAGAGAAAAACATGTTGATATGTTGCATACCCTCAAATAAAAATGTATATTTTATTTATTACATTTTTTTGATAATCAGTATTGGAGATTTTAAAAGGTTTGTGAAAAACTTCAATATTTAGTTAACAATATATTTGTACTACTATATTTAGTTAACTATATATTTTTAATACTATATTCAGTTAACTGAATAAATACCAAATTGTGGTTTTCTGTGTAAGGGGTGTTCTTCACTTAAAAGCAGAAACAGTGAGTGAAACAGGAAGCGGATTTCGGAGACCTTGGTAACCATGTAATTGCGTTGACAGCAAATTTAAATGAAATCCCCCCTCCTTCTGCACATAGCCAAAATGTCAATGTGTCACAAAGTAGACGACAGCTCAGCATCCTTCGGATATACAACCCCCTCCCCCCACACCACTGATACATCCTTCTGGTCCCCATCACCGCACAGTGGGCCGTCATTGTGTGTGAGAAGTGGGTGGCGGGCATAAATCAATCTGGGGCAAGATTTTCGGCAACATTTTGCTGATTTATTTGCACCACTGTGCTAAGGGGGTGGGAACCCCCCTCCACACCCTGGCCAATCTCCATGCCCCACACCAATGGCTAATAATATTGCCATTGACCCGACTCGAGGGGGCTGTAAAACTCAGCTGCCGCGCTGTCAATTTGCCGGGATATCAGGGAACTCAAGGATGCCAAAGGGGCGGGAGTAGATGAGGGCATCTACATATTTTATTGAAAGATATTGAAAGATTTCAATATCGAGGAGTCAAACGGAGACGCAAACACATGAGTGTACTGAGAAAAACTGACAACTACTTTGGACAATCAATAAAACCCATACGAGTAACTTATTTATATTACAATTATTGAAATTTATAGCTACGTTCAATACCCATTTATTTTAATATTCATAAACTAGAGCCTTTATATTTTATTGCATTTAGAATAATTAGGTATTTCACAAGAAACATCTACTTCTTCAGCTATTGACAACCTATCCATTTAGCGATTAAATAGTTATCGTCAACATTTGTTCAACACTAAAAGTAAAAACTCCTATTTGGACATATTACAATGCAGCTCACAAGGTTGATCCTGTTCCCATGATAACTTCACATACAAAGTTCAATTTGCCTACAATGTTCGCCATTCAATTCCGTTTTCGATAGGTATTTATCGATTATGCAAATAAATCGCTGTGAGCGGTTATGGGTGTGATTGGGGATGGGGGACTAAGCCGATAGGCGAGTGAATTATTTATCGAATATGCGTGCGAGTGGGCAAGTAAATACAATTACCCGGTCCCAGCTTAAACACACACTCTCGCCATAAACAACTAGACCTAAACTGCCTCCGACTTCGGTTTATCCTCGTACCCCTCATTGAGGCCCATTTATATATCGATGGTCCTTCGGTTATGCCCACACATAACACAGAATGGCGGAGCATAAAACGGAATCGCAGGGCCCCAAAGATGCGCAATTGATGATAGTGAATGTGGAAATGGAGCCCAGTTTCCTCTGACTCTCTCTCTCTCTCTCTCTCTTTGTGTGTGTGTGCAAATGGAAAATGAAATTTAAAATTATTTTGCAACTAAATTACTTGTCTTATTGCTGTCCAGGGGATTGGCCGATCCCGATCCGGGGTCCTATTTATTGTGCCAGCGACAGCAGAAGGAATCTCGAGGAGCGGAAGGAGCAGGCTGCCCATAAATTCGCATTTATGCCCAAGACAATCATAGAGCTCACGCCGAGAACGTGGATAATGCTGGCTAGAAAGTGCTCAACGAGCTTATATCCCCTGATATTCTTCACTTTTTAAAGCCTCTTTTACTTTTCACAGAAAGAAGGGGTTTAAATGGACTCAAAAAAACTAAACAACTAGAGTAAGTGTTATTTTGTTCTGTTTAAAGTGTTGTTTTTAGCTCATTGTCTTTAGAATCGGACATATTTAATTTAATTATAAAATTCTACTAAAGCAATGGGTTATTTTCTATAAGAATTTAAACTTGAAAGTGAAATCTTTTTAGCAGAGAAAAAGAGTAGTGATATCTAGTAACGTTTTTAGGCCCTCGAATAGCCCATCATATTTTGGAGAACCCAAGTACTTTAGAGGGTATCGGGGCATGGTACATGGCGCTGCATTCAAGTACTCCGAGTGGCTTAGTCCTTCGGACCAATAATCATAATCATATTGTTCGGGCTGCCCAACCAAGAACAATGAAGACCTGCTGCCCCTCTTTTTCTTGGCCAAAAAACAAACACACAACCCACAAAAACAATAATAATAATAATAAGCAAGGACAAGGCGTGGGTGTTTCGGTGTTTCGGTGTCTGGGTGTTTTTTGGGTGGTGCCAGGATGTCATGTTAATACAAATGTCCCGGCAGTCTGCTGACTAACGCAATTGCAAACCCACAAACCCCCCCACCACCCCCAACCCACCCCACTCCGCCCCATTTTTATGCACATTTGCAAAGGCCGGGAGTAATGATGGGCGGGGCCCTTTCTGGCCCTATATTTGCTTTCTGGCCTTTTGGCATTGGCATAAACTGCCAAGATCAGCAGAAAATTTTTGCAAATTTTATTTTATAGCATTTTCACAAGTGGAAAGTCGTGTCGATGTATCCCAGCACATACATATATATATACTTGCACATATATGTGTGCTATAAAACCCTAGATGTCTCGGCCATTCGGGCTAAGCAAATAGCTTCGTTTGTTGTTTTGCTCTATCAATATTTGACTTTCGGCTTGGTTTTCTGTCTTTTTTTTTTGCTTTTTTTTTGGGGCCTTCAAAATTACCAACGCACACGGCATTTTCCTGGGAAAGCCGACAACTGGCTACACAGAGCCAAGGAAAGTCGAGAAAAGGTGCGGAAAAGCCTCCCTGCAGATAGATGGATGTTTGGGGCTTAAAACTTTTGGCCCTCCACAAACCAATATTTAAAATTGGCCAGGACCCTTTGCTGCTGACAAATGCCAATTGAGAAATCCTCGACAGAGTCAGCAATCGAAGTCTTATCGAATTAGTTTCGGTAATTGAAAGGACTGAGCTGGAAATCTATATCACAGGCGATTTGAATACACAACGATTGAAAGTTGGGCTTGGTTGGACAATCTTGTGCATTGATTTGAATTTAAGAAAAGTCAGACTACAAATTTCCATAAAAAAAGGCGATCGGAATAACATTTTAAATAGTAATAATAATTATATTTAAGATTCAGCGTTCTAACAAATTTAATGTGTCCAAAGATTCAAATGAATTAGATTAATTATTAAAAATGGTTTAATGGGAGCTTAATGCATCGAACTTTTAAAAGTTGAGGGGCAATTTGGATTTAAAGGATGGTAATCCTTTGAACTCGCCTTCTGTGTTTTTTTCGACAGACACTAGTAATCCTTTCAATAAATAATCGTCGTCGTCTGCAAACGATAACACTTTGAGCCCTCGACCAGTACGCACATCAATCAATTACCACTGCAGTTCTTATGGCACGAATTACTCTGGCTTCGTTATGCAACCTGCATCATGGATGTGACCATGGGATCGCATCATCATCAAGTAACCCCCCTCTCCACCCCTTGGCCACTGGAACCCCCTTTCAGCCACCACTGGCACACACCGTTTTCGGCCCTTTTGAACCCCCCGTTTCTGACCACTCCGCCATTCTCTTTAGTTGCCATCAACAACAGCAGTTGGTTCGGCCCCAAATGCACTCGTGCGATGGTGTCAAAAGGTGTACGGGTCATGCCCATAGCCACAGCCCAACGCCAACCCCTTTCCCCATTTTTATACACTTTGAAAAATACACACTCTTTCAGTTTACGAACAGGATTTGGCACTGAAGTTCTTGGGCTAAGAGATTTGGACAAAATAAAAATGATTTGTAAATGTAGCAAGCAGTCATACACAAATGTACAAATACACCTACACTTAAGTACTAAGGATCCTATTGTACATACATACTTTAAGATAAGTTCCACAATTATTGTATCCTATATATGTCTCTTTTAATCTTGTGCGAAACCTACTGTCAACCGAACACTATGTCTATCTCGGTCTCGCACGTACGATCGGTTTAAGTTCCACTCTTGTGAAATAGGCTAAGCACGCATAATTTGCAAAAGAATAAACACATGTAGTTTACATTTTAGTTTTCCAAAGTGAAATCTTTACTCTAAAACCTAGTTGTTTTTCTTAGTGTATTAGCGCCGCTTTCAGCTGCCATTGCCTTTGGTATCCTGCAAACAAGAGCGCACTTGCCATTCAAGTAAAACAAATTTCCGTTGCTGGAACATCAAATTTATGGCCCACAGGCAGCAAGGGCGTAAAAGGGCAAGCGGTTGGGGGGCGGGTCATTGTTTCTATCCCCCCTCTTTTATGGGGAGGAGGGGGGGTAACCGAAAGAACCCCCCTTTTTGTGTCTGAAAAGGCAGAAGGCCACTGGCACTTACCAATTGTGGTCAAAACGGTCAGCGAATACAAAAACGCTTTGGCAAAATTCCACTCATGCGGCGGTCCCCCGCCCACTGCCACGCCCCCAACGCCCCCGGCACGGTGATGGTGATAGTGTGTGTGGAGGAGCACGGCTTCCGTGGCCGGATTGTTGCCCCCCGGAACACCAGGGGCGCCCGAGGACGAGGACGAGGAGGAGGAGGGGGCGTTGGCCACATCGTCGTGCGATAATTGCAGCATAACATCCTCGTTCAGTCTCTTGATTAATTGGTCTTGAAACTTGGCTATTTCAAGTGCGGCTAATCTGTAAGAGAGAGGCGGAGACAGAGCGAGAAAGGGAGAGAAAGAGAGAGGAAGAAATCAATATCAAATCAATATGTAAAATTAAGTATACGCCTTGGTTACTAACATAAAGTTTTCTTGTAATATACTTGTTTATCTCTTTAATAACCATTTTTCTAATATCAGAATTATAATGCTTAAGGAAATCAATATGAAATCAAGTATACGTCCTGGTTGCCTATATCAAGTATACGCACCGTGAAGAAGGGGCTTATTAAATTAAATTAAATAAAAATAATTTTAAATCTAAAATTATACTAGTAAGTAAAATATATACAAATTTGCTGCCTATATCAAGTATACGCACCGTGAAGAAGGGGAATATTAAATTAAATTAAATAAATACAAATTTTAAATCAAAAATTATATTTATAAAAATATATATTAAGTAAAGAATATACAAATTTTAATTTTAATAATTGACATGTCTTTTAAAGGACTTATTTATAAATTGTATGCTACGAATTGTATATCTTGAAAATTGTAATTTAAGAGTTGCTTCGACTTCACACTCACTTTGTCCAGTTCTCCTTGTAGAGAATGTTGAGCGAGACGGTGATGTCCCAGATATTCTCGATGGTCCGCTGCCGCACATCGTAGGTGTCCGGCGAGAGGGCGAACTGCGGCATGCCGCCCGCCTCCAAGTCCGCCGCATCGTCCACGCCGTAAACGAAGTCGCCGGGATTTCCTGACGGCATTCCTTGGGCGGCGACGGCGGCGGCGGCGGCCACCGTGTCATTGTCCGCCGGACGTCCCTGTGCCGCTTGATGTCCTTGCTGCTGCTGCTGCTGCGGTGTCCTCTGCTGGTAGATACTGTTCCCGATCCCGAGGCCGATGCCCAGGCCAGCCATGTGGCGCTTGGTGCTGGCCAGAGTGTGCTGCTGATGCAGCAGGGCCGAGTCCTCGTTCTCGATGGTCAGGAAGATGAAGGAGCCTGCAAGGAGTCGACGAACAAAGGCCAAACATCAGCAAAGCATCACTGGGAGAAATTGTTGTACAATTGGCACTTAAGAAATTAATAACATATACATTTTTCCTAAAACCTAAGATAGTCTTCCATTGCCCCAGTTTTAAAACGAAAAACGTTAGCAAAACGTCCCAATATCAAATAATTTATACAAATTAATTTACTTAATTTCCAAAATAAAATACAAAATGTTTGAATGTTTAAAATTTTGTAAACGTAAGGTGTCTAGATGGAATCAAATCAAACGTATACTGTTCTTCTTTCTCTGTGCATCATGTGGCAAAGTATCCATGCCTCCGCATCTCAAATCTCCAGCAAAATATGAACCCAGCGGTAACTCATTTGTTTCCTATGTGGCAAAAAGGATGCCGAGGAAGGAAGGAGATAGGTGCCAGGTCATAAAGCATCTTGGAGGTGTTGCAATCGCTATAAGGCAGCTTAAGGGCTTCCTGTTTTTGCCACACTGTTGAAGGGCAGGATTCACTTCTATGCTCAGACTAAATGGTGGGGACTTTAAAGGAAAATGTACCAGCAATCAATGGAAGCAAGTCAGTGTTTTAAAGGGAACTGATAAAATAAAAACAAAAGACTGTCATTAACAAAAAATACATCATTAATAACATTAACATCATTGGCATTAAAAAGCTTTTTGATAATTTGCTCTTTTCTAAACTCCTGGGATTTGTAAAGCACTTTAAAAAAGGACAACGGCCTTGCTCAAGTTCATCCCTTCGTCTTATTTCTCGGCCCCAATCGATAAAACTCCCATGGTCCTTGTTCCTTTAGGCCCATCCGTGTTGATTCCTGTCACTCATTTAATGTTAATGCTCACATGTGACACATTTTGTCAAGTTTTTGGAAAGTTTTCGCCTGCCTTCGACAAAGTTTACTTTTATTTTTTGCCCTTGGCAGGCTGAGAATGATGTTGAATGTGTATGAAATGATGAGTTGATGTCCTTGCCAAAAGCCACCACATGTCAAAGTTAAATATAATGCACGGATGATGGAAAATCGGATCGGGAAAGTCCAAGATGACAGGCTGGACACAAAGCTGAAGCCCTGACATAAGTTTTTCTTTTTACCTGAGATTTATGGAGCGGGAAATGTTTTCGTCTAAGAATTTTTAATAGTTTTAACTTTGTTAATGTTATTGTTTATAAGATTTTAGTTATCCTAACTCAGGAATAACTCAGTAACTATTTAAGCTATTTCCAAATATTTTTAGATCTATTAAAAGTCTTTCCCACACACACGCTTTACTTTAAACAGACCTATTTGTCCAACTTGTAACTTTCGCTGGAGCATGAAAACTCTGTAAATGGGTTGGGGAAAAGTCGAGAAAATTCATCTGTCATGTGTGTGTGTGTGTGTGTGTGTCGTGTGACGTCACCGGGTTTCACGCACGGCCTAGCGAAAGTTAAATAATTGTTTGTGTCATTTTGATGATTTCCTCCTAACAAGGGACAACTTTTTCGCCCAGCTGTCGCTCACACACACACACACAAACGCACAAGTGCGAATTTTTCCGATTTGTTTAAAGTATTTTCCACACATATGTGTTGTGCTTTTCCATGTTGCTGTTGTGCTGATGTTGCTGCTGTGATGTTGCTGCTGTGATGTTGCTGCTGTGATGTTGCTGTTGTGTCTCTAACCATCGCTTGTCAAAGCAGCCGTCACCGTCAGAGAATCGGAGAAAAAGAGGGAGACTTGGAGAAAGAGGTAGAGAAATAGGCAGCGAAAAGAAGATAGGCACGGAGATGGATTTCCGGTTACGGAAATCTTTTGCTTTTCTAATACTCGCCTAAAAGAATGGCATATTTTTCCCTAGCAAACTGTTTAATATAGTACATGTTTAAACAATTTGATACCATTCATATACAATTATTTACAATTAATAAAAAAAAACAAAATCCGTCCGCAATTCATTTTTAATTTAATGCAGAATATAAAAATTAATTGTTAATAATTTTGGATCAATATATAAAAAATGTCTGTTTTTTGCCACTTTAATATCCATTTGCATTATTATTCTAATAATAAAGAGAAGTTTAAATACATTTAAACGTTTATTGTTAAAAATAAATAAAAATTTACAATTTATAATCAAAAGGTTCAAATTGTGATCACTGTACAGAAAGGAAAACATAAGTTTTGGCCGCTATGTTGACGTTTGTTTTTGGCATCAAGGGGGGCGAAGAGGGGGCGGGGATGATGGCGGCAAATGATTAATTAAATTTATCACGTTGTTGTGCGGCTTTCCACCCAGTTCCTGTTCTTGGTTAATTTAAACGTCGAACTCTGTGACAAGATACATTAAGCATCCATGTTTCTTCCTTGTCCCGAAAACAGTAACAGTAGCCACTACACAGTTAAAAACTAGGGCTCGAAATCGATATTGGCATGTCAAAAAGATAGTTACACTGCTTATAAATTTTTGTGCCATGCGTTTAAAAAAGACTTTAAATAGCTATAAAGTTTGAACTTGTTTTCTATAATTGTTACAAAGTGTTAAGCACTGATAAGGATCATTAAAACAAAACCATTTTTGTTCGGTGTAGTGTTAAGGTATCCGCAAACGTTTCTGTATCTGTATCTGTAAATGTATCTGTATCTGACACACGCGCAACAAAAAGAGGCAATGAGATGAACGCATGGTCGAAATAAGATGCCGCGTTAATTAGGACGGCCGCAACAATGAAGTGGCAACAACAGACAGCGGATACAAATGATATGTGAGTGCCTGTCACGCACAGTCCGTCGATGCGGCTATTTAGCTGGAGGCACGGGCATTTATTTCCTTTAAAGCCACTTAAATAGAGTTACATTTGTAGTTCGTGGGAGGTTTAATTGCAATAAGGGGCTGTCATTGAAAGAAACCCTTAGATACAATGCTTTTAACATCTAGTCTTGATTATTAAAGGTCATAAAGTAGCATCCTTTTGGTATATTTACTAAGATCAAATTGTTTTAGAAATTAAATACCAAATAAATAAAAATCAGGGACATGGCTAATAATTATTTATTTTATTTTATTTATTTCTCATTATTTATTTATTTGTCAGTTGCCTTATACCGCTTCCAATTTTAAATTGAAAAATAAATGAAATTAAATTCTCGTCAAAGCGTAACTATTTGAATTAAATTGCGTCGCGTTGCTTTTCGTTTCGTTTCGTTAATTTATTGAATTAATTATGCTAACTTAATTTGGATTTACTTACCGAGCAGAGTGTAGGCGAGCAGCAGCATGCAGATGCCGAGGTTCGTGAGGAGGGCGGACCACACCGTTTGCGAGGTGGCCTTGCGACTCTTCTTCTTGCTGTCCTTGCTTCCGTATCCGGGTGGCGTCTTTCCGGTCTCCCCGGGACACTCCCCCCCGCCCCCTCGGCCGCCCCCCGAACCGAAACAGGAGCAAAATCCTTGCCGCTTTCGTTGCCGTTGCTGCTGCTGTTGCTGCTGTTGTTGCTGCTGCTGCTGTTGCTGTTGCTGCTGCTGGTGTTGCTGCTGTAGTTGGTGTTGCACCTGTGCCTGGGCTTGAATCGAGACCGTCTGTGGGTGGGCGGGCGTCAGTGCCTCCTTGCGGCTGGGGGGCGTGGCCATCAGTTGGAGCGGCAAAAGCTTCGCATTGCTCTTGAGCGTGCCGCAATTGCTGTTGCTGCTGCTGTTGCTGCCGGCGGTACTGACAATCGTGGTGAGGGGCAGGGGCAGGGGGAGGGGCAGGGACAGCGGCAGGGGGGCGGCGGGGCCATCATATCGCTCACATAACTCGACGTGGGGTACTTCAAAATACCCGGCGGCGCCATCGAAGTTTGGGCCAATGAAACGACCACCTAAAAATATATAATTATAATTAATTTATTATAATAATATAATACATTAATTGGTTTTTCATTCCTATGTATAAAACTAATGGCTTTAATTAATAATAATTAACCAGAAATAATAATCAATTATATAATATGAAGAGAAAAAATCGAGGAAAATGCAATATGTTTGCTAACCGATAAATTATTATTTATGCTCTTTGTATTTCAACCCAACAGACCACCCTGAATTTATCTTAATTTTTAAATTTAATGGTTTTATTTACAGTAAAAATAATTAATATATAACAGTGGAAATTTTAAAGCAAGAAGAGGCATATTTATATTAATTATTATTTGGTATGTTTTCTAACTGAATGAAATATGTCTCATATGATTTTAGTGGTTTTTCTTGGAGTTCTAGTTCTCAAATTAAATGGATTTTCAACTTTTAATAATTAAAAAAATGCCATTAAATTATCATATATTAGTATTCCCCAAGGAAAACCCACCTGGCCACTTTGGCCGCCCGTCTGGTTGGCCACCTCAATGTCCTCGAGCGTGGGCATGGGCAGCAGGGGCGTGGTCTTGAAGGTCGTCGTCGCGGGGGGCGGGGCGGGCAGGAGGAGCGGGGGCAGCTGGGCGGGCGACATGCTGGGCAGGATGCCGATGGACACGTAGTTGCCGGCGGTTCCGCCGGCGGACGAGGTGGGCGGTAGCGGTATCCCGATCCCGCCTCCGTAATGTGGCGGCGCTGTGGGCGTGGCCATCGAGCCGGTGGGCGGGGCAGCGGTCAGCTGCGAGGGCGGCGGCGGCGGGGGCGCCCCAGTTTGCATTGGCATCGGTTGATCCGGGTTCATCTTGCATTTGGTCGCTGTTTTGTCCTTGCTCCGCAATCAATCAATCAAACTGTGGATAACGAAAAAAAGCAGGAGATGTTAAGGTATATTTAAAGGTTGAAAAATGTCCCTTATATTATGTTAATTATCCATGAAGTTGACGAGGGAGCTGTCTAACAGTCAAGAGGATTATTTAAATACCACTTTTTGTTAAATCTAAATGTCTTATAACCTTTAAGTTATAAGTGTATGCATTTTTAATTGTTTTTAGTGAAAATTTTCTTATGGGGAAGCCACAGTAAAGGTGTTTCAAATTATGCCACTGCGTGTTTTAAAGATTAAAGTCCGTTTGATTAATTTCGAATGATGTCGTTCTTTTTCACAGCATACTTTTAGGCACCGTTGTAAGTTAATACTGAGGAATGTTTTCAAAAAGTGGTTACAATACCATTACCCAGTCGGGTTCCATATAAAATTCTATATAAATTCAATTTAGCAGCTTGCTTGGTTCTATATTAACCCTATATTTAAGCCAGTAATGCCCCTATAGTCCCCTTTATTATTCTATTTTAAGTTCCCCAAAATTAAATGCAGTGGGAAAAGTCATTTATACGAACGCAATGTAAACAAAAAAGAAACAAAAGAGAATTAACATTTTTTTTTCGACTTTCTTGCCTGAATTTTATCCTGACTTCTCAATACTCTACGTTTAAACAATCAAATTATTTTTTTTATCTCGTTTGAATTTTATTCGATCTATAATTACTATACTTTGCACGATTTAACAATATTCTGTAACCACGTTAAACGTAAAATAAATCGTTTTCCTCCCCTCAAAGTATCGTATAAGTGTTATACATTCGGTTCACTTAGATTGTCGTATAAGGATCATAAATAGAGGACCATGGGATCGAAGATAGGCGACAAGGAGGATACCACCGGTTCCATACCTACCTCGTCTGAAATCTAAGTATTCGTATTGTGTTATGAAATCAGTCACTTTGAAATTCGTGCATTTAAACATTACAGTGGTCTTAAATTAACGTATACAAACATTATCCAACTTAAGGTCATTGCATTATAAACCTGTTCGCATTTAGGCTCTTTTCGCCCATCAGAGTGAACGGTCGTGTTTTTAAATTGTGCTCCGAATTTTCCTTCTTTAAATAATGCAACGCATTTATGTGTCCTTAAGAACATCCTGTTCGCTTCGCGAGTGCCTTGTGATTAGTTTGTTTTTTTGTTTCTCTTAAGGTAATGCTTTATCTTAAGCGCTCTGAAACTCTCTTAGAGGAGCTAAGAGAACGATTCAACTTCAACGTTGTTATGCTTCCGATCTATTACTTTCTCTGACTCTTTCTTTCCCTCGTTCTCTGTCCATCTCTTTAGTTCTCTATCTATCTCATTTTGACGTGATATATATCGAAATTAATAGGTGTTACGCTGGCGCTCTGTCGCTCTGTCGCTCTTCTCGGCTCTCTCTTTAAGACTTTTGTCCGATATATTTGCACAGTGGTCTGATTAAGCGTGAAAATGGCTTTCTGTTCGCCAAAAAAAACTGCAAAAAAGTTATCTGCCATCTGGCAGAGCATTCCATGCCATTCATGTGATAAAATTGATCATGCCAAGAGTCTGGGCCATTTTGGCCTGGACGGCGATGCCAACACTACTACTGCCATGAGTGCATTGTATATGAAGAAAAAATGCAATTTATTTTAGACTACCTGTGTACATATGCTGCAAACCTTAAGCCATTCAGCCCAGCATTTCGTATTCCTTAACATAATTTTCTGCTAAAATAGGCAAATAGATACGATAAACCGATTTGGCATTCCGCCTCAACGGCGAAAGGCAATCGCTTACAATTCCGGGCCAAAATCCGCAATTGCCGCAGATGAAAATCGGTTTGGAATACGAAATCCCCGGGACTTTGGACCTTCTGCAGGTGGAAAACAGCCGAGCAGTTGAGTGCGGTTCATCAAAGCATTAATTAACAGGCACTAAAACACACATGGATGTCTGGAAATCAGAATGCTGAAGACATTCCCATTAATTTGCACAATTCAATGCTTTTCATTAAGTTGCAATTACTCGAAATTAATCGCTTTTGCCAAAATGCCAAAAACTGATGGTGCGATTGTGGGTGGTTTGTGTCTGTTTTGGTTCAAGTGGGTGGTTCAATTGGGTGGTTCAATTGGGTGGTTCAACCGACTGCTTCAGCTGGGTGGTTCAATGGGTGCTTCAATGGGTGGTTCAATGGGTGTTTCCATGGGAAAAGCCTAAGCGGCTTAGGCCCCAATCATCGAACTCTGTCATCGTCGATTGAAGTTCGCTTTGATTGAAATGTAGGGAGGCGTAGAATTTGTTTAGTTTTCATTTCGATTCGCCGAGGGCCCCACAATTAAGGTGAAAAACTGGAGCCTTTCGTTAGCCTTCGCTCAAAGGTAAGAAAAGCGTTAAAAAAAGTTGTTAGGCAGGGTAATTGCCTTAGAGGTGTAAATTCGATGGTCATATTTTAAAAATTTTGAAATGGTAATTAAGACATTAATCCTAATTGCTTTTAATATATTTAATGCAAATCGATTGGTTTTTATGTCGTGATTGTAAATACTTCCATGGGCTATTATTTAACATACGATATTTAAAATATATATTCCTTTTTTTGAGAATTGCCAAGTATTTTATTTAACCTCTATTAAACTGTTTATAAATGTTGACCATTTGTCCATTTAGCAATATGCAAAAGTAGTAACTTAGTACAGGTATTATTTTCTCTATCTTTGGAAACGTAGAAACCAAATTTGGACGAAGGTGCTGCAATTAAGGACGCTTCCAAGGACACAAGGACACAAGGACACAAGTGTGTGCTGCATATTTGAAGGCGCTGACTTGTTTTTGTTATCCCGCAATTTTCCCTCCAAACGGAAGGCGGTCAAAAGGCCGTCAAGTGGCTTAAAAGGAGCCGGGAAAACAAAAGGCGGAAAAACAACAAGATGCGCTGTGAATTCAGTTCAAGTGCAGCCAATGTGTTGCGCATTTCGTATGCAGGCGTGCCAGTGGGCGTGGCAAGGGGAGGCGTTATTCAGGTGCGAAATGGGGCGTGGCCCTTTTGGACACCTTTTCTTTGGACAGGCGAATCTCGGCCGAGGCGAAACTACAGCATAGGAAAACACAAGGAGCATGAATCAAATCACCATTGGCCAAGATGAAAAAATGCGGAAAATACGAGAGTTGTGTGGCAATCAAGGTAAATCGATTGGGAATTCATGAAACTTGCTTAGAAATTGTTTTGCTTATCGAAAAATAGGTGAGGAGAAACGAAGTGTTTTGTTGTTGCTTTATTTATATTTATTTTTAAGATATACAAATATCAGTGATCTGAAATCAGTAATACTAATTTTCAAAACTGTTCCCACTAAATTATAATTCATCTCTATGTGTTTTAAATCATTAAATAAACGATTTGCTTTCGACAATTATAATTATTATCAAACCCTAGTTACCTGAAATCATTAAAAAGGTATCCAAAAAAGAAACATTATTTAAAAAATAACTAGACTAAGATAAGGCCATAAAAATGTTTGCTTTCGTTATTACCAAAATAAGATTTTAAGGTGAACTATTTAATCACTTTTATTTTCCGCGTATGGCTTGTATCGAATTTAATCCGTCGCAAACAGCGGGCAACATTTTTGCGACTTCAATTCCATTACGCATGATTTGCGATGCAGCAACAAAACCGTTTTGCGGAAAATCCCCCTCCCCCACAATTTCCACGTGATCGTAGAAGGATTTTGGGTGGAAAATCGAGGGGATTAAGAATCATTTCCTGGTGCAGTTCTCCCAGGCCGCGAAGGCTGAACATTAAATGCTCGCTCAAATGAGATGAAAACTCGTTTGGCGAGAAAAGAGCTTTTCCAAAGAACTGGGCAGCAAAATCACTGGCCAGGGAAGTTGACCACAAAGAGGGAGGGGGAAAACCAGGAGGGAAAAGCCCGGGGGAAATCGAGGGGAGAGACTTTCGGGCCCAATATTTCAAACACGCGTCGAACGCATTTCCGGTGCGGAAAACGGTTACAGCGGAAATGCAACTTTGCCCGTTGTTCGAGCGTAACTGTTGTTTATGTTTGCCCACACACACACACACACACACACTCTTACACACTTACACTGACATTTACACACACTAACGCACACTGTGGCCTCAGCTATCAACAGGATAGTGGGGGAGAAAGTGGGAGAAAGCGGCAAAGACCCGCATAAATTGCTTTTTTGGGCTACACTTTTTTTCACCGTGTTCCGTTTCAGTCGCTCTCTGCTTTTGCTACACTTAGAAAATCATCTAGCAGCAGGAATACGTTCTTTGGTATACGAAATTAAGTTTGGTAATCAATTACTAGATATAAGTAGCTTTAATAGTAAATATAAAAAAAAATTAAGTATACGACTTTATAATCAAGTACACGACCTTAAAATCAAGTATACGTTTTCCTAAAAATATATTATTATATTTTGGTATACAAAATGAAGTTTTTTAATTAATTACTAGATATAAGTAGCTTTAATAGTAGATAAAAAAAATTAAGTATACGACTTTATAATTAAGTATACGACCTTAAAATCAAGTATACGTTTTCCTAAAAATATATTATTATATTTTTTTATTTTAAATATACAGATTGAAAGCTCTTTAAATCATAAAAACATTCCTAAATATCAAGTATACGTTCTAGAAATTGATTTCATTTTTGTAAACTTAAACTTAAACTTTTGCTTAAAGAACCATGTATATTCCTTCTTATCGTCTGAATATTTATTGTGGTGGACAAATCTAAGGTCTGTTACAGTGTCCGCCTAAGGTATGTTGCCAGTTGCCCACTCCCATTTCTCCACACCCGCTTTCTCCATTTTCCACTGTCATTCCTTTTTTTTCCGGTTGGGCCCTGAAATTTCTGGCATTCATTTTCTCGCCGTGCGTTGACAAAAGTCTCACGCAGTAAATTGAGATGGATGGATGGATAGAGTGGACGGCAGGGAGTAAAAGAAATGGGGGATCTGCTGGAAATACGG